ACGTAATCAAAGCCCTCCTGACAAAGAGCCATCCAGCCATAGATATAGATAGATATATATGATTCATACACACACAGATATAGTATCATAGATTTGAAAGGGACCCCTAAAGAAGGACTATGATATGTTGCATGTTCCAGAATAGGCAAGCCAGACAATCTCTACATCAACACTGACAAAGAAACAGCAAGAATTACTGTTTCCCCACAAACATAAAGAAATTACATATATTAGAACCCAACACTTTCTCATTACTTCATTTTCCAGATCAACAGACTGGGCCACAGCAACGCCTGGCAGGGGACAGCTAGTAATAGACAATAAGAAGATTGGGGAAGCCAAGTCTTTTCCCCTCCCCCCCACATTCTGATGTCCCATTCCTATTTTTCCCGATTTTTATTCTTACTTTTTTTTCTCTTTATTTCTTCTCCTTCCCTTGAACTATATACTCTAACCCTCTCCCCCACACCCAAATGCTTTTTCTATACTCACCATACCTTGTTTCTACCCATATTTTTTATGTATATATAATTTGAAATGTGTCAACAAAACATCATATTAAGAAAGAAAAGAAAATGTGGACTACATTTTAACCTCCACTTTAATAAGCATAAATGGTCACCATCACTTGTTTAAAGAAAAGCTCTCTTCCAGGTTGTTTCCTTTCTTTGAAACTGGCTATACGAATCCAATTTGAGCATGATGTATATAGAAAATGTTTAGCTCAGGGGTCCCCAAACCTTTTGAACAGAGGGCCGGGTCACAATCCCGCAAACTGTTGGAGGGCCGGATTATAATTTGAAAAAAAAAATGAATGAATTCCTATGCACTCTGCACATATATTATTTGCAGTGCAACCCCCCCCCCCCCAAATCAAAAAACAAAGACCCACACATTGGGTTAGACAGAGAGGTGACCTACACAAGAAATTCAGGGCCAAAGGTACTAGTAGTAGTAGTAGTAATAATAATAATAATCTATATAAATAAAAATGTAATGTTCGTTTGTGGGATTAACAGAACTCAAAAACCACTGGACGAATTGACAACAATTTTGGACACAAGACACCTAACAGTCCTTCACACAAGTTGTAGTTGCTGGGATTTATAGTTCAACTACAATCACAGAGCATTTTGAACTCCACCAACGATGGAAGTGAACCAAACTTGGCACACATTTCTCCCATGACCAACTGAAAATACTGGAAAGGTTTGGTGGGCAGTGTCCTTTCGTTTTGGAGTTGTAGTTCACCTACATCCAGAGATCACTGTGGACTCAAACAATGATGGATCTGGACCAAACTCTACAAGAATACTCAATATGCCCAAATGTGAACACTGGTGGAGTTTGGGGAAAATAGAATCTTGACATTTGGGAGTTGTATTTGCTGGGATTTAATAGTTCACCTACAATCAAAGAGCATTCTGAACCCCGTCAACGATGGAATTGAACCAAACTTGGCACACAGTTCTCCCATGACCAAGAGAAAATTCTGGAAGGGTTTGGTGGGCAGTGTCCTTTGGTTTTGGAATTGTAGTTCACCTGCCTCCATAAATCACTGTGGACTCAATGATAGATCTGGACCAAACTTGGCACTGATACTCAATATGTCCAAATGTGAACACTGGTGGCATTTGGGGGTTGTATTTGCTGGGATTTATAGTTCAATCAAAGAGCATTCTGAACTCCACCAATGATGGAATTGAACCAGTCTTGGTACACAGAACTCCCATGAACAACAGAAAATGCTGGGTTTAGTGGGCATTGACCTTGAGTTTTGGAGTTGTAGTTCACCTGCCTTCACCACGCCGGCGTTCCCTGGCCACGCCCACCCAGCGCCGCTCCGTCAATTGCGGACACCCTCTGCTCCAGCCGCTCTGCTCTGCAGAGGACCCACCTGGGAGGCTTCTCCCTCCCACACAGGCAGAGCGGCCGGAGCAGAGGGTGTCCGCAATTGGCGGAGCGGCGCCGGGTGGGCGTGGCCAGGCCAGGCCGCGCGGGCCGGAGAAATGCCCACGTCGGGCCACATACGGCCCATGGGCCATAGTTTGGGGACCCCTGGTTTAGCTACTCCTGGGCCAAAATGGCTTCCGAAAAGTCAGCACTGAGACTGTGGACAGCTCACTTATTGATCTGTAAAAGTGAAGTTCATTAGCCTCTCATTGGCAAAACAATTGACTCATCAACTTGCAAAATGTAAAGTCCTGCATCTTGTACATATAGGCAATATGTACAAGATGCAAGCCTTTGAGTTCTGCTAACTGTTCCTTGCTCAGAGCTCATTTCTTGCAATAAAGTGCACCTTCTGGACTTATTTCATTCTATTTTTAAAAATTATTTATATACTCTATTTGCATCCTGCCTTTCTCTACCCCAGTGGTTTTCAACCTTCCTAATGCTGCAACCCCTTAATATAGTTCCTCAGGTTATGGTGACCTCCAACCAGAAAATTACTTTTGTTGCTACATCCTGACTGTAATGTTGCTACTGTTATGAATCATAATCTGATATGCAGGATGTATTTTCATTCATTGGACCAAATTTGGCACAAATACCCAATACACCCAAATTTGAATACTGGTGGGGTTGGGGCAAATTGATTTTGTCATTTGGGAGTTGTAGTTGCTGGGATTTATAGTTTACCTACAATCAAAGAGCATTCTGAACTCCACCAATGATGGAATTGAACCAAACTTGGCACACAGAACCCCCATGACCAACAAAAAATACTGGGAGGGTTTAGTGGTCACTGACCTTGAGTTTGGAAGTTGTAGTACACCTACATCCAGAGAGCACTGTGGACTCAAATTCAATATGCCCAAATGTCAACATTGGTGACGTTTGGGGAAAATAGATCTTGCCATTTGGGAGTTGTAGTTGCTGGGATTTATAGTTCACCCAGAGGCGGCCCTAGGTAATTTTCAATGGTAAGCAAACAGTATTTTGCCCGCCCCCCCAACCAATCATTGATATATATTTTCTGTTCATCATGGGAGTTCGGTGTGCCATATTTGGTTCAATTCCATAATTGGTGGAGTTCAGAATGCTCTTTGATTTTAGGTGAACTATACATCCCAGTAACTACAACTCGCATATGTCAAGATCTATTTTCCCCCAAGAGTGCCCCTGGGCAAAATCAACAATACTGCAAATGCTTACTTTGCGTAATGGGTTGAGCCGCCCCTGAGTTCACCTACAATCAAAGAGCATTCTGAACTCCACCAATTATGGAATTGAACCACACTTGCCACACAGAACTCCCTCCCAAAAATACTGGGAGGGTTTAGTGGTCACTGACCTTGAGTTTGGAAGTTGTAGTACACCTACATCCAGTGAGCACTGTGGACTCAAACAATGATGGATCTGGACCAAACTTGGCACGAATACTCAGTTTGTCCAAACGTGAGCACTGGTGGAGTTTGGGGAAAATAAACCTTGACATTTGGGAGTTGTAGTTGCTGGGATTTAGAGTTCACCTACAATCAAAGAGCATTCTGAACCCCACCAATTAGATAATTGGGCCAAACTTCCCACACAGAACTCCCATAACCAACAAGAAAATACTGTGTTTTCTGATGGTCTTTGGTGATTCCTCTTCATGACCCCCAGGTTGAGAAATGCTGCTCTACTCTGAAGGGGACACAAGACGGCTTTACTTTATTTATTTATTTATTTATTTCATATACTTGTACCCAACTCTTCTCACCCCCGAGGGGGGACTCGGGGCGGCCTCACAGCAAACACTATTCGGTGCCATCATAATGATAAAAACAATCAACAAATTCATTAAAACAAAACATTAACAGTTGTTAAAACATGCCGATTAAAATCCGGGTCCAGGTCAATTCATTGTCACTTCGAAATTGCTTATGTCTTCTTCATACAAGCCGCTATTCAATGGTCAAATGCAAGGTCCCACAGCCAAGTCTTGAGTTTCCTTCTAAAGGACAGGAGGGAGGTGGCCAATCTGATGTCTTTGGGGAGGGAATTCCACAGACGGGGAGCCACTGTTGAGAAGGCCCTGTCTCTTGTCTCCACCAATCGCGTTTGCGATGGTGGTGAGATCAAGAGCAGGGCCTTTTCAGACGATCTTAAACTTTGTGATGATACGTTTGGACATGTAGTCTGGGCCAGAACCGTTTAGAGCAGAGGTCCTCAAACTAAGGCCCGGGGGCCAGATATGGCCCTCCAAGGTCATTTACCCGACCCTTGCTCAGGGTCAACCTAAGTCTGAAATGACTTGAAAGCACACAACAACAACAATCCAATCTCATCAGCCAAAAGCAGGCCCGCACTTCCCATTGAAATACTAATAAGTTTGTATTTCTTAAAATTTTTCTTCATTTTAATTATTGTATTGTTTTAATGTGGGTTTTTTGGACTACAAATAAGATATGTGCAGTGTGTATATGAATTCATTCATGGTTTTTTTCAAATTATAATCCGGCCCTTCAACTGTTTGAGGGACTATGACCTGGCCCTCTGTTTAAAAAGTTTGAGGACCCCTGTTTTAGAGCTTTAAAGGTTAAAACCAGCACTTTGAATTGTGCTCGGTAGCAGATTGGGAGCCAGTGGAGCTGGCGTAACATATGGCAACTATTCAATGCCTTTGGAGAACAAACAATTAGAATACACTTAAGTTGAAAAATTAAAATTTTAATAGTGAATTGCATTCACTATTAAAATGACACCATCCTCAATCATAAAACACTCAACATACATTTTTAGAGGTCTTTGGGCATGGAAGAGTATATCTATATATATAAAATGGGAAAGGGCGTTCAACGGGACAGCAAAACGCGAAAACCCCCTGATGAAAACTCACCAAATTTGCCGTGCACACACCTCAACCCACAAGGTATGCACAACACTCATCAAAATTCCAAACAACATTTCAACAAACTCACAATTACAAAAACCAACTGAGCATGCGCAGTGCCCAGGGGAGGAAGTACACACGCAATGCACTCTGGGAACTATAGTTCTAGAACGCGGCCTACCCGCTGATGCTGAAGCCCCGGCCTGGGAGTTGGAGCTCGGCTGGCTGTGCTCGCTGGGGGCCAGGATGCTGCGCGACCTGCGGAGGCTGCCCGGGAGGCCCCCGCTGCGCGCCTTCCTGGCCCGGCCGGGAGAGGCCGCGGCCCGGCTCTGCCGAGGACAGCCCATCGGCCACCGCAACGCCCGGCCCAGGCCGCCCCCGCACACCGCCGTCTGGCTCCGCCATCGGTGAGGAAGGGGAAGGAGGGAAGGAAGCGGGAGAGGGAAGGAAGGACGGAAATGAGGGGAAGGGGTGTAAATAGCAAGGAAGGAAGGAAAGAAGGAAAAAAGGAAAGAAGAAAAGTGGGAAGGGGAAGGGAAGGTGTAGGAAGGAAGGAAGGAGAAGTTGAGAAGGTATATGAAAAAAGAAAGGAAGAAAAGAAAGAAGAAAGGGAGAGAAGGAGGATGGGAAAGAAGGGAGAAAGGAAGGAAGGGAAGAAGAAAGGAGGGAAGGGAAGGTGTATGAAGGAAGTAAGGAAGGAGAAGTTGAGAAGGTATATGAAAGAAGAAAGGAAGGAAAGAAAGAAGAAAGGGAGAGAAGGAGGATGGGAAAGAACGGAGAAAGGAAGGAAGGGAGGGAGGGAGGAGGGAGGGAGGGAAGGTGTATGAAGGAAGGAAGGAGAAGTTGAGAAGGTATATGAAAGAAGAAAGGTAGGAAAGAAAGAATACAGAGAGAGAAGGAGGATGGGAAAGAAGGGAGAAAGGAAGGAAGGAGGAAAGGAAAGAAAGATAGAAAAAAGAAGAAGGGGAAGGGAAGGTGTCAAAAGGAAGGAAGGAAGGAAGGAAGGAAGGAAGGAAGGAAGGAAGGGGAATTTGGGAAGGGGAAGAGAGGAAAAAAGGAAGGAAGAAGAGAAAGGGAGGGAAGAAAAGAAAGAAAGAAAGAAAGAAAGAAAGAAAGAAAGAAAGAAAGAAAGAAAGAAAAGGAAGTCTGGAAGTCAAGAGCGAAGGAAGGAAGGAAAGAGATAGAGAGGGAAGAAAGGAGAGAAAGAGGAAGGAAAATAAAAAGGGAGGGGGAAGGAAAGAGGAAGAGAAGGAAGGAGGAGAGAAGGAAAAAAAGGGAAGGGAGGAAAGACGGAGCAAAGAAAGAAGAGAAAGAAGGAGAGAAAGAGGGAGGGAAGGAAAGAAATAAAGAGAAGGAAGGATGGGAGCAAAAAGCTAAGGAAGGAAGTAAACAGGTAGAGAAGGAAGAAAGGAAAGAAGAAAAGGAAATGAAGGAAGGAGTGAAAGAAGGAGAGAAGGCTGGCCACAGCAACGCGTGGCGGGTAAAGCTAGTAAAATATAATTTTGCAAGCCTTGGCTGATGAGAATTAACAGGGGCTGTTTTAATTGGGTTGCATACTGAACCACAGCCTTATTACCCCCATAAAGATTCCAGTTCATTGGGTTACGTATTGAAATTGGCTGGCCTTGCTGGAGGCAATGAGGTGACATAACATACGCACACATACAGAAACAGAAACAAGGCATGGCGAAGGGGAATTTTCCATCAGGAAACAATGTTGCAAGGTTTTCTTTCTTTGATGAGAAGACACTGACTTGCTTTCAAAAACATCCTCACAGTTACAGAGAACACAATCCATCTGCATGCCCTCCAGAACTTCCTCCGAAGTCACCTTTAAGCCTACAGACTGCTTTTGGCCTGAACCAAGTTACAATCAATCTACCAAATCAGTAAAAGTTAGATGAGTTTTGACTTTCTGTTTTGAATCCAATGATGGTGATGTTTATTTACACCCTGCTTTTTCTCTCCATAAAGGAAACTCATACTGCATAGAGAAGACTCTCTTGAATTCATGGATTTTGTAAATGGATTTACTGTTTTGAAAGCTATTACTTTCCCAAACAGTGATTCCCAAACTCTGGTGCTCCAGATGCTTAATTTATTTATTTATTGTGTCATCCGCAACCAGAACATTGTATTACATTTCTAACAGAACAAAACAAACAAACAGGTAAAAAAAAACACACACACACACAAAATTTGGTAGTTAGTTAAATGTCCTTTGACCAGTATCTGGCCACTTGGAGTGCCTCTGGTGTTGCTGCAAGAAGGTCCTCCATTGTGCATGTGGCAGGGCTCAGGTTGCATTGCAGCAGGTGGTCAATGGTTTGCTCTTCTCCACACTCGCATGTCGTGGATTCAACTTTGTAGCCCCATTTCTTAAGATTGGCTCTGCATCTCGTGGTGCCAGAGCGCAGTCTGTTCAGCGCCTTCCAAGTCGCCCAGTCTTCTGTGTGCCCAGGGGGGAGTCTCTCATCTGGTATCACCCACGGATTGAGGTGCTGGGTTTGAGCCTGCCACTTTTGGACTCTCGCTTGCTGAGGTGTTCCAGCGAGTGTCTCTGTAGATCTAAGAAAACTATTTCTTGATTTAAGTCATTGATGTGCTGGCTGATACCCAAACAAGGGATGAGCTGGAGATGTCTCTGCCTTGGTCCTTTCACTATTGGCTGCTACTTCCCGGCGGATGTCAGGTGGTGCAATACCGGCTAAGCAGTGTAATTTCTCCAGTGGTGTAGGGCGCAGACACCCGTGATAATGCGGCATGTCTCATTAAGAGCCACATCCACTGTTTTAGTGTGGTGAGATGTGTTCCACACTGGGCATGCGTACTCAGCAGCAGAGTAGCACAGCGCAAGGGCAGATGTCTTCACTGTATCTGGTTGTGATCCCCAGGTTGTGCCAGTCAGCTTTCGTATGATATTGTTTCTAGCACCCACTTTTTGTTTGATGTTCAGGCAGTGCTTCTTGTAGGTCAGAGAACGGTCCAGAGTGACTCCCAGGTATTTGGGTGTGCTGCAATGCTCCAGTGGGATTCCTTCCCAGGTAATCCTCAGAGCTCGGGATGCTTGTCTGTTCTTAAGGTGAAAGGCACATGTCTGTTTTTTAGATGGATTAGGGATCAGTTGGTTTTCCCTGTAATAGGTAGTAAGAGCACCTAGAGCTTCGGAGAGCTTCTGTTCAACCATCTCAAAGCTCCCTGCTTGAGCGGTAATGGCACGATCATCAGCATAGATGAAACTCTCTGTCCCTTCTGGCAGTGGCTGGTCATTTGTGTAGATGTTGAACATGGATGGAGCAAGCATGCTCCCCTGAGGCAGGCCGTTCTTCTGTTTCCGCCATCTGCTTCTCTGGCCCTGGAACTCAACAAAAAAGCTCCTGTTTTGTAGCAGGTTTCCTATGAGACGGGTGAGATGGTAGTCCTTTGTGATATTATACATTTTTCTCAGGAGGAGGCGGTGGTTCACAGTATCATAGGCTGCTGACAGGTCTATGAAGACAGCTCCTGTGATCTGCTCTCTTTCAAAGCCATCTTCTATGTGCTAGTCAGGTTCAGCACTTGCGATGTGCAGCTTTTGCCTTTCCTGAAGCCAGCTTGCTGTGGAATCAGACAGGGGTCTATTTTTTCCATAATTCTATGCAGAATAAGTCTCTCCAGAACTTTGTAGAGGTGGCACAGCAGGGAGATTGGTCTGTAGCTTTTTGGATCATTACGGTCTTTGCCTGGCTTCAAGATGGCAATGACTCTTGCTTTCCTCCAGATTTTGGGGATCTAGATGCTTAATTAATTTTGTTAAAAACAAGGATAGTCCTATATTTTGGTCAAACAGCTTTGTAGGTTCTTGAAACAACGCAAAGGGACCTGCTGAATGTGTTTAGGAGAGACAACTGTGAGGCTGAGTCACATTTCGTGAGCAACAGTTCCTTTGTAACTATTGTTGTCTGGCTCCAGCATCATTGTCTGCAATGTCATTCTGACTCACAGTGGCCAACAGACAAGGGTTGGCTTTCCCCTGCAACTCTCTGAAAGCTGATCCATATAAAATGATTTAGAAAAGCTGTGAACACACTGTAAAAACAATTGTTTGCCCATTTAAAAAAGAGGTAACACTCTGTCACTGGAATGAAATGAAACTTTATTTGTAGCCTGCCCTATCTCCCCAAAGGGACTCGGGGCAGCTCACAACAAAATATACAATGGCAAACATTCAATGTCAACAGTAATATGTAAACAAATGGTTAGCTTCCATCGTGAGTTGAACATAAGAGTCCTGTTAGAAGACCTAGAAATTCTAGAGCAGTGTTCTCTGAGATTAAAAACAAACAAACAAAAATCCAGTAATGTCCAACCCCCCGCCCCCCCCAAAAAATACAGCAATTTATATTTTTTTTCACTTTCATGGAGTCCTGTGTTCCAATTCCCTTCAGAGTATTCATTTTATATATGTCACTTTTGTGTCAAAAATAAACCACAGAATTTGTTGTCAACGGCTTTCATGGTGGGAATCACTGGGTTGCTGTGAGTTTTCTGGGCTGTGTGGCCATGTTCCAGAAGCATCCTCTCCTGACATTTTGCCCACATTAATGGTAGGCATCCTCAGAGGTTTTGAGGTCTGTTGGAAACTAGGCAAGTGAGGTTTATATACCTGTGGAATGTGCAGGGTGCAGGGTGGGAGAAAGAACTCTTGTCTGTTTGAGACAAGTGTGAATATTGCAATTGGCCACCTCACAACCTCTGAAGATGCCTGCCATAGACACAGGCAAAATGTCAGGAGAAGATACTACTAGAACATGGCCATATAGCCTGAAAAACCTACAAGAACCCTACAAGAACCCAGTGATTCCTACCATGAAAGCCTTCGACAATACAATTGGCTGCCTTGATTAGCATTTAATAGTTTTGCAGCTTCAAAGCCTGGCTGCTTCCTGTCTGGGGGGAAACCTTTGTTGGGTGGTGTTAGCTCGCCCTGATTTTTTCATGTCTGGAATTCCCCTGTTTTCTGAATGTTGTTCTTCATTTACTGTCCTGCTTTTAGAGGTTTTTTAAAATGCTGGTAGCCAGATTTTGTTCATTTTCATGGTTTTCTCCTTTCTGTTGAAATTGTCTACATGCCTGTGGATTTCAATGGCTTCTCTGTGCATATAGTCTGACATGTTGGTTGTGAGAGTGGTCCAGCATTTCTGTGTTCTCAAATAATATGCTGCGTCCAGGTTGGTTCATCAGTTGCTCTGCTATGGCTGACTTCTCTGGTTGGATTAGTCTGCAGTGCCTTTCATGTTTCTTGATTCGTGTTCACGGTGGTCCCTATGTAGACTTGTCCACAGCTGCATGGTATATGGTAGACTCCTGCAGAGATGAGAGGCTCCCTCTTGTCCTTTGCTGAACGTAGCATTTGTTGGATTTTC